GAATGGAAATGAAATGGACACTACTCTTTAGGGTTTAGGATTTATAGGGTTTATAGGGATAATGGAAAATAAAATGGGAACTACTATATATCAACCCTAAACCCTAAACCCTAAACCCTAAACCCCTTCAGGTTTTCGCGACCCTATGCTCTGCTCCATCCGGCAGCCCAGCGCTTCCAGCAGCGAGGACCGAAGTGGCATGCATGCCCCAAACCCCAGCTGAGTAGTATTTAATGTGGGGATACTATTTAGGGTTTAGGGTTTAGGGTTTAGGATTTAGGGTTTAGGGTTTAGGGTTCAGGGTTTAGGATTTAGGGTTTAGGGTTTAGGGTATTTGAGTAGTATCTTATTTGGGGAGATTCTATCCTCCTTTTGGGGTATAGTATCTTATATAAGGAATATTATCTTACTAGGTTCAACCATCAACAAACACTACCCACCTGAGCTATAGTCTAAACTCCTTAAGGAGGGGTGTTATATAGGGTAAGTATTATAGGGGTTGTTAAGGGGGATACGAGGAGTTTAGACTGCTGCGGCAGGTGATGTATAGCTCACCTGAACTTGTTCCGAACACATATGTCTGGACCTCAAACGGTGTCGGACATGCCTCTGCAACTATGGTGTCGTGACGTCTCATGAGTATCATCCTTTGGCAGAAGAAGAAAATCGAAAAGCACCTGTACGAAACCGCGTGAACCGTCGGCAATCCTCTCAGTTTTGGCAGGCTCCCCTTTAAGCCCGACCAAATCAAGAGTAGTATCCCCGGCAATGGATGAATATGTGCTTGCAACCCCACAAGAATAATCCTCCCCACGCGCCTAACAATAAGCATTCATCTCCAGTATATGATGGTATTATTCTTGGCCCTGAACCCAAAACTCCAAATTCTGTAGTAGTTTCCATTTTCTTTTCTCGAAGTGATCCCGTTTCTTGGGTGGGGAGCCCCAACCCCAAACCCCAAACCCAAGCCCAAAATCTCAAACCCTTATCCCTAAGCCCCAAATCCTAAACCTCAAACCCTAAGAACCCTAAGCGAAAGAGGCCTTGCCGACCTAGATGTGGAGGCTCATGCACCAAGGCAAGCTTCCCTGGAATCTTGAAGATTATTAGGTACCAAACAATGAGGCTCCTTTCAAAGGATATATAGGTACATATGTATATATATATATAATTGTAATAGGGCTTGCTTTTTAGTGTCCAAGGACCCAATAGTTAGATTCTTGGGTATTGGGTAGTAGTGGTTATGGTACAGGTTTTGGGCGAGTATATGATTATTTGGTACTGGGAGCCTGAGGGTTACATAGGCATATGTATGTCTTAATATATACATATATATATGTATATACATATGCAGGTTAAATGGCGTTTATGTAGGGACATTCCGGGGATACACAGGGATATCTAGTGCTTATATAGGGGTTCATAGCTCCCTTTTATATAAATAGAAATAAATAGAGCATTGACTTTGATCTTTGGGTATGTGGGCTACTGGGGGTGTTGAAGTATCGAGTCGTCCTGTTGATTATTTTTAGTGTTTGTTGCTTCTGTTCGTTTGTTTATTTTCCCTGTTTCCTCTTTATGTCTTTCATTCTTGCATTGCTTTGTCTCTTTAAGATCAACAGAACTAACCCTAAACCTTAAACTCTAAATCCTAAACCCTAAA